GTCTGGAAGAAAGTCGTTCTGAGGAAAAAAAGGGATATTTCACCCAAAAATGAAAATGTGATGTTTATCTACTTACCCCCAGGGCATCCAAGATGTAGTTGATGTTGTTTCTTCAGTAGAACACAAACGAAGATTTTTAACTACAGCCATAGCAGTCTGTCAAGCACGGGTTTGTCACAGTCATACCCACCGATTGTCATGATTTCTTCTGATTGTCTCTCTGTGTCTGTGAGCTTGGTCTCCGAGCACATGGGTTTTGTTTTGACAGCTCACCATGTGCTCCGCTGTCTGTGTGGTGTTTTTCCCCTCCCACTCTTATCCTTAATTCTCTTGTGTTTTCTGTCACACCTGTTGCCATTCATTCCTCATTAGCCCTTCCCTATTTTAGATCCTCTCGTGCTCAGTTTTTTTGTCAGGAACTGGTTAGTGAATGGGTCAGGAGAGAAGGATCTTGGTATGAGGATGATGACATGAATAGTGAAGAATGGATGGCGGTAGGGCGTGAAAAAGAGCGGGATATAGGAAGAAGTCAGGAAGGAGGGAATAGAAACATAAATAACGTAAGCAAAAAAAAGGGGTCTGGAAGAAAGTCGTTCTGAGGAAAATGAGCGGACAATTCAGAGGAGATTGGAAGGGAAGAATTCAAGATTATACTTGTAATGAGGAAAGAAGATGAACACATAGGTTTAAGTCCAATTGCACTTACCAAAGATTTAAAGAAGAAGCTGGGAGAGATAGAAATGGCAAAAATCCTTTATGACGGGAATATATTGATCAAATGTAAGACAGAGGAACAAAGGAATAAAGCGTTGCATATTGGAAGTGTATGCAAGAAGACTGTAGTGGATAAAAAAGTAATACATGGAAAAACGGGGACACGGGGAGTAATATGGGGTATTCCAGTCGAAGAGGATTTGGACAACATCAAAAAGAATATGCTAGGAGGAATAGTGACGAATGTGAGACGATTAAATAACACAGTAAATGGAAAACGAGTTGCCAGTTTGTCTGTGTTAATTGACTTTCAAGATGAAAAACTTCCAGAAAGGGTTAAAATAGGATACATGAGCTACTATGTCAGAGAATATGTTCCACCACCTCTTAGGTGTTACAAATGTCAGAGATATGGACATATCGCTGCAGTGTGTAGAGGAAAACAAAGATGTGCAAAGTGTGGGGGAGAGCATAGGTATGAGGAATGTGGGGGAAATGCGAAGGTAGCGTGTTGTAACTGTGGTGGAGATCATAGTGTAACATATGGAGGATGTGAGGTAAGGAAAAGAGCAGTGGAGGTCCAACAAATTAAAACAAAGAGTAATATAAGTTATGCAGAGGCAGTGAAAAGAATTCAAGAGGGGAAAACAAAGGCGGGGGCAGCCAAAGATGTAAGAACCCAGGATAATATGAGAAACCTAAAAGAGGTATCAATGAACATAGAAAATGTTATTTTGTTCATAGCATATGTTATCAATTGTACTGAACAGGTAAAACATAAAACAGAGAAAATTAAAGTTATTACAAAAGGTGCTGAGAAATTTTTGTCAGTCAGAAACCTCTCTTGGGAACAGATTACCAGAAGACTTGAGTCGGAAGGAAGGTCTTCAAGCCAAATTGGATAGAGTTAATGTTTATAATTCAATGGAATGCAAGGAGTCTATTGGCAAATGGACAGGAATTCAAAAGTTTTATCAATGATTTAGAAATAAAAC